AGCAAATTTCAATTGTACATATGTAAGTGTTTATGTATGTACATACACAAGGCAAACTTCAAATTTATACATAGCAAAGCAAATACAATAAGAAGTGAATACAAAGCAAATATGATAAATGAAGAATTCGAAAATATAAATCAGTCACAATGGATGATAGGGTAAGCGGGCGTTCTGCGACATCCCCACCCCCGTGAATCAACCCGATTCACTAACTTTCACATCCAGAACGGCCAGCTTGGATACGGCTCGCCGCTTCACTCCAGCAGTTGTGCGCACGTCAACTTGACGAATTTCGCCATCTCGGTCAGGGTATACCTCCTCTACTAAGCCACGACACCATTCTCTTCGCGGTACGTTGTGATCACATAGGAATACCAGATCGCCTTTGCTTAATGGCTCAGTCCGTTGGCACCACTTCACGCGTCGTGTTAACGTAGGAAGATACTCCTCTATCCAGCGCTTCCAAAAGTGGTCTCGGAGTTGGCGGGCGATGCGCCACTGTTGGCGTATAGCGTATGTGCTGGCTAGGATTTCGTCTGCCGCTGGCGTCTGTGCAGTATTAGCCGATCCTAACAAGAAGTCGTTTGGCGTTAAAGGCTGCTCCTGGTTTGCTTCGATTGGCAAATGCGTGAGAGGGCGGGAGTTAACGACATTCTCCGCCTCGATCAAAAAGCAGTTAAGGGTGTGTTCTTTTGGAGCGACTTCTTTAATTGTCTGGCGTAGAACTTTCTTGATGGACTGGACCATTCGCTCCCAGGCTCCTCCTTCGGCTGGATTAAACGGCGAGGTGAAGATCCAGTCGATACCTCGTTTTGACAGCTCGCTTTGTATGCGCTCGCCGTCGAAGACCTCATCGAAGCGTTTGGCTTCGTTATTGACTCCGACGAAGTTCTTCCCGTTGTCAGATCTCATTCGCTGTGGCACTCCTCGGCGATTTATAAAATTGCGTATTACCATTATACAAGAGTCGGTGCTGAGGTCATGTGCTATCTCCAAATGCACGGCTCGTATGGTCAGGCATGTGAAGAGAGCCACCCATCTCTTCTCTGTACTGCGTCGCACGGTCACATGTAGAGGTCCGAAGTAGTCCAGGCCCGTGTATGTGAACGGTCAACGGGAAGCGGTCCCATCAGCGGGGGAATCGGAATTGCTTTGCGGATGCGGCACACTGGACAACTGGCAATGACGTTGCGTAGAAGGCTTCTCAAGCGTGGTACCCAGTAACTACGCCGTATGGAGCATATCGTTGCTTCCGTGTTTTGGTGACCCATAATCATGTTGTGATGCGATGTCATTAGTTTCGTGAACGTATGTGTCGGCGGCAATATAATGGGGTGTCTCACGTCCATTGGCAACCAGCTGGCAGCATCGATGCGCCCGCGAACGCGTAAGACACCTTCGTCGTCGAGATACGGCGATAGCTGTAGTATAGAGCTTTGGCGAGATATACCCTTCCCGTTACTGATTCGTTGAATTTCCGTACCGAAGGCCTCACCTTGGGCGATACGGCACAGTAGGCGTTTTGCTGCTTCCAAATCGCTGGCTGTCAATCCGTAGCAATTTTTTAAAATTTGAACTTGGCGGCGTATTATTTTGGTAAACAAGATTACCCAGGCTGTGGCTCTTACCAACCTGTTAAATGATGAGAAACGATTAAAATTGATAAGGTCACAACTTATAATGCTCAAAGCGTATTGAGGTCGAATCTCCTCGTCGGATTCATTGAGCTTAGGGGCAGCGACGTCTTCAGAGGGCCAGGCGTGTTCTGGTTGGCGTAAAAATAGTGGTCCATGGACCCAACGGCTTGTTGAGGCAAACGTCACTTTGTGATTGACACGTGTTGCTTCGTCGGCGACATTTTCTGCAGTAGGTACCCACTGCCCATCGGATACTTTCGTGGCGGCTAAAATTTCTGCAATCCTGTGTTGCACGAACGGCTTGTACCTGCGATGTTTACTTCGTATCCAATTCACGACTGTCTTCAAGTCACTCCAGAGGTAGGACTTGTCAATAACTACATCGTGCTCCGAGCGCACGGTCTGCATTAGTCGTGTACCCAAAACGGCTGCTTGCAGTTCTAAACGCGGTACAGTAAGTGGTTTTAGTGGCGCGCACTTAGACTTAGCGCAGACGAAGGTAACATCAACTTCACCACGGCAGTTTGTTGCTCTCCAATACGCGACGGCGGCAAATGCGTTTTCGCTGGCATCCGCGAAAACGTGTAGTTGCAGTTCTTCTGGCTGACCTCCATGGAAATAAAATCGAGGAATGGCGTATTCGGTCACTGCCGGCAATTGCTTATGCCACCTTTCCCACAGCTCTGCGAGTTTGTCAGGCAACGGTTCATCCCAGCTCGCCTCATGTCGCCAAACCTCACGCATAAGTAGTTTAGCGCTTATGATGAAATGTGCTAGGAATCCTAGTGGGTCGAATACCGACATCACCACACTAAGAAGCTCCCTCTTTGTAGGGCGTCTGTTACCTTCAACCACGGCTTCACTGACGTTGTGAAATTTTAGGTTAAAGCTGAAGCAGTCTGTGGTTGGCTGCCAGTGTAAGCCGAGCACCTTTTCCGACATTAGGCCTTCCTTATTAACAAGAGTCTTGGTGACGTCGACGCCACCCAGAGCGGCGACCACCTCTGACGAACTGGATGTGAAGTTGCGGAGCTCGAAACCAGCATCCATGTGAATCGCTCTTACTTGGGTTGCAACAGCGATAGCTTCCTTTGGCGTATCGAAGCTATCCACTAAATCATCGACATAGTGATAATCTAAAATGGCTTTTATGGCCCGGGCTGTGTAACGATTGTCACCTCGATGTTCCAAAGCGTTTCGCGTTTTGACGTAATGTGCAGCACAAGGTGAGCAAGCAGCTCCGAACGTCATCACGGACATTTCGTATACACTTGGTTGTCTCTCAGAGTCTCCATCTCTCCACAGGAATCGCTGGGCCTGTCTGTCATCTGGGCGTATCAGCACTTGGTGAAACATCTCTTTGATGTCACCACAAACACCCACTGCCCCTTCACGGAAGTGGAAAAGGATGGATGGCAACGGTCTGTACTCCTGCGGACCCTTAAGCAGATGACGATTCTGCGAAACTCCATTAACCTCGGCGGCAGCATCAAAGACTATTCGTAGCTTATTGGGTTTATTCGGGTTCAACACGGCAAAGTGCGGCAGGTACCATGTACGTGGCGTTATCGAGGCGACAGCTGACGGTTCAAGTTTACGCGCATAACCCTTTTCGACGTAAGAGGCTACCATGAGCTTGTAGGCGGCGGCGCAGCTCACGTCACGACTCATTCGCTTTTCGACACTCACCAATCTCTTGAGCGCCATATTGTAGCTGTCTGGCAGACGCACATTATCTTCTTTCCATAGAAGTCCGGTTTCGAATCTTGTACCAATGCGGCTGGTTGTCGACTCTAATATAGTCCTGGCACGGACGTCAACTTCACTTTCAACGCGTGCTGCAGCTCTAACGCCGAAACTTTCAATTTCAAAAAAGTCGGCAACCATTTTGTGTAGTGTCTCGTCCGGACTTCTATTAACTAAAAGGCACGTTGATGGTGTAGGCATATTTTTGCTAGTCGGGCCGAACACTACCCACCCCAGTTCTGTATTGGCAGCGTATGGTCCATTTTTCCTCATCGAAATAGTTGAGGATGCAATACCCAAATGGCAGTTATCGATACCGATAAGTACTCTCGGTACCGCACCAGATTGTGGCTGTACGGGCAATTGACGGACTCGTTTGTCATCGCAAAGTAGGTCAACGGGGCTAAGGCTTTGCGATGGCAATTGAAGATTTTTCACAGCGTACACGTTTTGCATTTTGTGCTTCTTTGTCATACCTGCACCGCTGATATACAGGCCAACCAAGGTTGCTGGCTCCTGTACGGAATGGCCACCGAACCACTGAACGTTGAGATTGTGTTGCTGTCCGCGCAAGTCAAGCTCTTCGGCGAGAGTGTTGTCGATCATGGTGATGGAAGAGCCTTCGTCCAATAGAGCATACGTGTCTATGTGGCGTTGTCTTCCATATACTGTAACTGGAAGTATACGGAATAGTAGCTTACTTACTTTTGAATTGGCGGCGCAGCTTAACACTGCAGCTCCTGTATCGGTAGACTGTCGGCTGTTTACTGGGGGCGGCGACGATAGCTGAGTTGAAGTCGGTTGAGTGGTATTCTTCGTCGACGAAGACGATGGCACTGGCGGTTGTACGGGAGGGGTTTCGTGCAGCAATTTGTTATGGAATCGATTGCATCCACCGGTTCCACAAATCTTTCGTTGTCTGCAGTCACGTGTGGTGTGACCAGCATTCAAGCACTCAAAACATAGACGTCGAGATTTTACTTCAGTCCATCTATTGGCCACTGAAGCTTCGATAAGACGTTTGCAGTCGTACGGCTTATGCTGACCCTGGCATATCGGGCATTTTCGAGGCTGCTGTCTTTCATCAAGATTTTGTGTCGCGACCGGCAAACTGGCTTTCGTCATGTATTGTGCAGATAACATCGGCTAGTGAGGTAAGCCAATTACTAAAATGCACTGTTGTAGCGCGCGGTTGTGGCATACCGGCCCCACTCGATGCGCTTACTCATAGGCAGCTTCGAGATTAAGTCATCGAGTAACATTGGGTTAGCTAGATGGTGATCGGCGTTGGCTGATTGCAAAAACACACAAATATTTTTCATTTTTGTTGCGAAAGGAATAAGCTTGCTCAAAGCGTTCTCTGGAATCGGAGCGATATCCTTGACCTGCAACAGTTGGCTTCGGATGAGCTGCTCTGGGCGACCAAATCGACACTTTAGTTGCTCAATGATACAGCTAACATTGATGGGGTGAATCAGTAACGACTTCACCATCTCGCGAGCATCACCCTTTAAGCACTTTTGCAACCGTTGGTTGTTATCGAAGTTTGTGTAACCATAAGTTGCCGTGGATTCGGTAAATGCTGTATAAAATACAGGCCACTCTTCAGGTCGTCCGCTAAATTCCGGCAAATCTAGCAACTTTGGCGGCATAAAGGCGGTTTGCGATGAATACGGCATGTGTATGTTAGCGTTGGTAGGCGGCATCGATAAGTTCGGCGAATGTAATGAGTACGTATCATTAACATGAAACGCACTGTATAAATTATTTGCTGTCGAAGCTGTACTGCAAATAATTGGCTGTGAGCTGGCACCACAACGGGACTCAGCAAATGGCTGACTTGCGTTAGACTGCGCGTCTGCGTACGTAACGGCGGAGCTACCGCTTCTGCATAGCTCTGCTCTGAGGGTCTCGTTTTGTAGGTCACGCTCCCTTAGCTGTACTTGCGTGGCTTTCAAATTACTTTCAAGCATAGCTAATCGGTGCTCCATGGCTTGGAGATCGAAGACTGAAGGGGCTGGCATACCCGGCGTGTTGTCTCTGGAAGCTTTGGCGGCGATAGCGTCCGTGGCTGGGATTGTAGTAACTCCACTGTCGGCATCAGACGTAGTGGTGTTTAAGGCAGTTGTAGTGTCCATGGCACGGCCGTTGATACTTGTCGCGCCTATTGACTCTTCAGCGATCGACTCTAAAGCAATTAAATTGGCGTT